TGATAACGCAAAAAGAACTGGAAATATTTTTATGAAACTTGACATTTGGGTAGATGGCAGTCTTGAGATTATGCACGTCTTTTTCTTTTCTTCCTATGTTGAAAATTCTGGTTGCTATGGCAACACATAGACTGAAAATATGGCAAATTTTACACATAAACTGAATCCAGTGAAAACTCAAAAAGTACTGGAAATATTTTTATGAAACTTGACATATGCGTAGATAGCAGTCTTGAGATTATGCATGTCTTATCTGTTCTTCCTATTTTGGAAAAATATTAGTTGCCTTGGCAATAAATAGGCTTAAAACATGGCAAACATAACAATATTTGTGATAATTCAAAAAGAGCTGAAAATTTTTATGAAATTGCATCTTTAATTCAAGAGTTATCTCCTCTTTAAGAATTTTGCTTTTAAAATGTTATATTTTGGTAACAGGGATGTTTCAAATATTAACTTTAGATAGTCCTTCAGTCCTTCTGTCTGTCTGTTCATAAAAACTGTTTCCTCTGATCACTTTTAAAGAAATTTTCCAACAAATTTACCTAAAATAGAGAAAAATTGAAACACAAGGGAATGGCCAATGGCTCTTCAGAATGTTGATGGGGTTCTAACCGGTAGGGGACTTATGGATTGCTTGCAATACTATGATAATTGCTTGTTTTATCATAATAAACATAATTTGTGCAACAAATTATACTATAAAAATGATATAACAGTTTTGCACAAAATCGACGGCCATTTTGGACGCCATCTTGGATTTGGAAGAAGTATGAAAGAGAAATTTTGTGAGATTTAAATTTTTGAAAAGGAGAAATTATATGCATGCTTTTGGTGTGAGTTAAAGGTCTGTACAAAAGATTGGAATGAATGAGCTAGAATGTACTCAAATTTATATGGCGGCCATTTTGAAAATGGCGGCCATCTTGAATGAGCAGAGATATTTTTGGGCCCACTTCACTTTTGAAATCTACATGGTCTAAAGATGATTTCCTGAAAGTTTCATGCTTGTATCACAATTTGCACTATTTTCTCAATTTCCCGCCCCACTAATTAAACTGATATAAAATACAATTTCTGTCCGTAATGTAAATGTTAAGATATGTTAAACGTGGTGTATAATGTAAATATCGACCGACTTTAATGACAGTAGCCAATGCAAGAGAATGCACTATATCTATCTGGTGGCATTGAAAAGCATTCTACCCATTCATTACAACGCAGGGTGTAATGGAGTTTTCACATTTTTATTTCAAATGAGCATAAGTGATATAATATTGCGGAACGGTCTCTTGTCCAAGTTTATGCTTATTGATATCAATGAATACGGATGTGTTGTCTAAGAACGCAAAGTTAAAGATTGCTAGCTCAGTACAGGAAAACAGAAAAAAATACCTTCTTGTAATTCCAATATATTAGAGTTTAATTTATCCCAGAAGACTGTTTTAATTTAGACACTTTTTGTAGGCAGAAACACTAAAGTTAAGATGACAGGTGACCTTTGAAAATGAACAGAATTGCTAAAAGAACCGTGGTTTAATATCTGAGTAATAAATATCACGTTTGGGTATCTTAACTGGTTTGCAGCACTATTGAATGATGCCCTTTCACATTCTACGGAGAAAAACGATGCGATCCGGACTTTTAAGCAGGCTAAGCTTTTGGAGGACGCCCGTCCTTGAAGGCTCGGCACTTTTGCAACCCTAGGCTTTATAATGATATTTTTTTGACTTACAAAAAGGGATAAATAGGATATATTTAACTAGTACAGTTGTTCTTTCACGAAATTGACTACAATTCATGTTTACGGAAAATCTTGCCAAAAAGAAAGCTAAAACACGTTTTCTTTTACTCCAATATTCTGACTTATATTTTGATTAGAAACATGTCAGGCGGTCTATGTTACTTGCCTACCTGAACGTTTATAGGGAGGTCTCTACTTTCCAGAATATTGCATTCTAACAATAGAAGCATTTCCCTAAATAACTGCCAAACAGGCATAAACAGTTCTGTCAGCTAGACAGGCAGTGGTCTTAGTTTTCTTAGAACTAACAATAAATGGCACATACCTTTATATCTAGGACACACCAATTTCTCGGCAAAACAATATTTTGAACACAGACAAAGTTTTTGACAAAGTTTACAAGTATAACCATTAACGATCAAGATTACCCATTAGCATGGTGTACTGATCAGTCGGGGAAGCTGTGTTACAATACATATATAATGATTTATTTCTTTTAATTTGTTTTTTCAATATTTACCAATTTTTGGATTAAGTCTAGAGAAAATACAACACTGTTACAAGAAAGTCATGTTTTTAATTCAAAACGTTTGCCTCACACAAACGAACGACAAGTGCATTGAGTTAATAAGTGTTATGTTAGGGGATGCGTTCTTTGGATGTTATCTGTCCATGGTATCCTTCGTCTCATATATTTCCCCTAAAGACTATCTCATATATTTGTCGACAAATAAGCATACAAAGGAATGCAAAAGAAAGTTGTCGGATTTATTGAAAAGAAACATAAAATAATGTAACAAACCTGAAATGTTTTGGAACAATTGTCCTTAACTTACTTGGCCGTAATGAATAAAAAACAGGTCCTTGTCAAAATTAAAGGTTACAACAATCAATACACATTAGTTTATTTTGATTGTCCAAGCATTTTACAAGCTGACGTCGATCAATTTTTTAAAAAAAATGGTTAATTAAATCAAATACAATACCTCATTTGGGATGAAGCAATTGGTTCATAATATGTTTACCCCATAAAGAATGACATTTGGGATGAGGCAATTGGTTCATATTATGTTTACCCCATAAAGAATGACATTTGGGATGAGGCAATTGATTCATATTATGTTTACCCCATAAAGAATGACATTTTTGATGAGGCAATTGGTTCATGTTATGTTTACCCCATAAAGAATGACATTTTTGATGAGGCAATTGGTTCATATTATGTTTACCCCATAAAGAATGACAGTTTTGATGAAGCAATTGGTTCATATTATGTTTACCCCATAAAGAATGACATTTTTGATGAGGCAATTGGTTCATATTATGTTTACCCCATAAAGAATGACATTTTTGATGAAGCAATTGGTTCATATTATGTTTACCCCATAAAGAATGACATTTTTGATGAAGCAATTGATTCATATTATGTTTACCCCATAAAGAATGACATTTGGGATGAGGCAGTTGGTTCATATTATGTTTACCCCATAAAGAATGACATTTGGGAAGAGGCAATTGGTTCATATTATGTTTACCCCATAAAGAATGACATTTTTGATGAATGCCAGTTTGCTAATCAATCAGCGCAATCTTTGCACAAACATTGAATCAGATACATATTTGGTACAACAACTTAATTTCAACTGTATACTATTATTATTGTCCTCTGTTGTTCACTGGCATTACGTAAGCCATCCGTCAGACCACTGAACTGCAAACAGAGGTTAATTTAGCTTTTAGATTCTCCGTGACAATATTTTTGTTCTTGTTCAATGCTTTTTTTCAACATTGGAAAGGGAACAGTAGTGCTAAACTGACCCTATTCCATTATTGTTTATATAATTTTTGTACCCTTCTATTTCATAACAAAATAACAATCATGTCATGTTTTTGGGGCTTGATATTATATTCTTCCAATTTGTCTTCATGTTATAAATACGGAGCCTAATATGTTACATAAATCTTTGATATAAAAACCTCTCATTTGTTTAGCGACAAGTTTTTGTGGTTGGTCAAACTAATTCAGGAGTTTTAGAAAATTTAGGAATATTATCTGTAGCTAACCTGAGCTTAGGTGAGTTCTTTAATGTCAGCGTGCCCATCGTTTGTCGTTAAGTTGTTAATCTTGATTGAAATAAATACCTGATTACAGTGAATAGAATCTTATTTAAAACATCATTCGGTTATGTATTTTATATAAAACAAAACTAACACTTGTTTTTACTTAATATATATGAATATCAAATTTAAATAGACCATGCCTTTTACATATGTATTTTATATACAAAAATACAATAAAAGATACTAATGAAATGAACATTACTTTCTGAAATGAAATTGTCAACAAAAAGTTCTGTTAGACTTGAAAATGTGAAGAATGTTAAATGTAGAGTACACAATTCGCAATGATCATCAGGATTTGAATTGAGCAAAACAAAAACATGCTCAAATTTAAAACAATAATTATAATATAGAATACAAATTATATACCGTTCCATGTGCCGTTCGTAGGCCACGCTATTTTGAAGAAAAAAATATTTCACACGCAAATATATTATATAGGCTGTACCCTTTTCCACGTTGCGTCAGTACAAATGAAACACGTGTTTTCTCTTTTAACTATTATCTTCAAAAATATAAAAATATGTACTAATCGGATACAACGGGTTTGTTGTTAATTGTCGTAATCGTCATATTTGAAATTATTCATCTTTACCACTATGTCATTCGATTTCAGTATTTACAATCTAGACGAACGCGTCTAAATAATACAAACGGAATCAAACGTTTATCGTGCAACACATTTAGAGTTTACAGTACTTATAAGACATTTACTCGTTTAAGGCTCATGAACATGCCTACGTTTATATCAAAGTCAGACAACTTATAACCAAATATATTAAAGTCGGCTTTGGGAATAACCGTGTAAAATTTTAAAATAATGCAACATGTTCATTAAGCATATCTCTGAGAAATACGGATGTGTAATTAACGGTAATACATTACTCGTAGTTGGTTGCGCAAACAATATGACTATTAAAATGTTTGGCATATAGATATTTTTCATATACAGTATAATATTTTAAAGGCATATAACGAATTGATTGATTGGGAATGATGTAGCTTTCCGATATAACGTTTTTCTTGTTGGGATTTTTAGATACACCATTAGCCATTACTACCCCATTTAGTCAACTAGTATTATACTGAATAGTAAAACAGAATAATTGTAAAACGAATGATTTTTTATTTTTAGAAAAAAATGAGACGCTCGACTCGAAAAAGGAATCCGCCTGCCAGACATGAAGACGATGACGAACCGCCGCCACGAAAAAGGCAGCTACAAAAGAAATCACAACCCCCGACAGCTCATAAGGTACATATACCGCATAGGGGACCTACACAGCAACATATGTTACATTCTTCGGCTACAGTATCGCCTAATTCAATAACGTCCACGTCAAGGGCACCTACACTACCAGCAAGGGCAAGTACATTATCGCCTAATTCACATACGTCCACGTCAAGGGCTCCTACACTACCAGCAAGGGCAAGTACATCATCGCCTGTAATAGCCATACTACCACAAGCGGACATGGCGCGGCAGTGTTTGGAGCAAGACATCAAGTTGACAAATCGACAAGGTTAGAGACAACCACATTTTGTGTCTAAATTATGCTCGGTTAGTGCGTCCCTGAACATCTAAATAGTAAAAGGAATATACAGAATAAATTTGCGGACATGGCCACCTGGTTGACTATGGAGGGCGCTCGTTGCCAAAATTCCAGACATGTAAAGTGTTCCTTTTAAAAAATACTTTGAAAATGCGAAAATTTATGCCTGCCATTTTTATTGTACCCTTGCATAGCTCATATTATGCCTCTTAATTCAATGTTTTAATTGAAGATTCCCGCCGTTATATAACAAGTTTACATATAGGTCGTAACAACTTACCTTACATGGAAAACGACAACATATTTACAAACTCGTATATTCCATTGCATGCAATAAATATGCATGTTTGCACACTTATACATATCTATCTGTACCTGAAATATACAAATGAAATGTAAAACTCAAATACAGAAAATGGAGTTTAAGAAAACGTGTTTCCAGTTGTAGAACTACATCAGTGTGTTAACGATGACAAAAGTAGATTCACAAAGTTAAACGATTTAAGTCATGTATGACGTCCCGCCCCTCTCTGAGTATTTACGAACTTCTATTGCGAACAGGTATAAAACCCGGCATTTCTGCCGTATTTCTAAATAAAACTGAGGGAAATCATGCCGCATTATTCCTAACATAATCTTGTTACATTTGTAACAAAAGTTTTATCATTAGCTACATCAGTTGAAAATTGCCGATTTTTCATTTATTTGATACAAAATGATTAAGATTACTTATGCACTAACTTATTATTTAACCTCGTGTTTTCCTGAGAAACATCGGCGATTTGGAAATTTTTAGGGGACAAATGACCAACTTCAAGCGAGTAAATTTATTCATAATCTAAAACCCATCCATTATTTGTATTGATTTCATTGAAAAATTTTCAACACAACTATGCAAGTGGCCATCGATTTAAGGGAGCTATGTGATTTATTTGCCGAATGTATGAGTGTGTTTTAAGAGAGAAAAAAAAACAACAAAAAACAAACAAAAAACGATAACTTTGAAACAAAATTTTTAATACTTCTACATTTTTTTTTTTATTTAAAAAAATATTTTTAAGGTATCACTAGAAAGATCATAAAGAATTCTTATATTTGACTCTAAAAATTGATCAAGGAATAAAAATGTAAGTTAGGGCGCCGTGTTTTTCTTACTAAATTTCAGAGTTTGGTTTACAGAAAGTAACATGATAAACTTTGAAACGAAAATTTTAATATTTCTCCTTAATTCATTTTTAAGTTTAGGCATGAAATACTTATGTACTATAAAACTTATGAAGCAGACTTTTTTTCGAGTCAAAGTTATCAAAATTGATTACAAAATAAAAGAGAAGTTTCGAGGGGACGCTGTGTTTTTCTTACTGAATTTGAGAGTGTGATTTTCAGAGGAAAAAATGATAAATTTTGTAACGAAAATTTTAATACATCTATTTAATTCATTTTCATTTCTGAGTAATATGGAGTAATCTTTCATTTGATACCAAAAATATATGACTTTTTATATAAAATAAGCTAGAAGGGACGCCGTGTTTTCCTTCACCTTATTGAAAAAAAGGAGAGAGGCGACGGGTATTATACCTGTCCCTACATTTCGGTAATAGAAGTTCGTAAATACTCAAAGAGGGGCGGGGCGTCATGCATGACTTAAAATCGTTTAACTTGGTGAATCTACTTTTGTCATTTTAAACATGTTACTGTGTTCACGTACTCTTGTATTTCTACAACAGGAAACACGTTTTCTTTAACTCATTTTTCTGTATTTGAGTTTTACATTTCATTTGTATATTCCAGGTTACATGCTTATGTAGTATATGCAATGGAAGATACGAGCTTGTCAATTTGTTTTTCATATTAAGTCTGTTGTTAGGATTTGCAGGCAAACTTGTTAATTAAAAGCGGGTGCTTTCAATTAAGAGGTATATTATTTACTGTGCACGAATACAATCAAAAATGCTAGACATGCAGCTTTTCAAAAGTCTTTTTCAAAAGGAACAAATTACATCTCTGGAATTTTGGCAACAAACGCCCTCCATAGTTGACTAGTTATAGCAATAGCGTCATTCAACATAAAGAGAGGGTGGGGGCCTTAATTGTCATAAAGGGAGAGGGTAAAAAGGTCATTAACCGATCAAATACAAAGAAAAGCGATACAATTGAAGAATATCTTCGCTCAACACACAGAACCACTGACAGTTTTAGCCGGTAAACACTAGCTATTTCAGGATGCTGTGGAATACTATGATTTCAATTATCGAATAAACATATCATTTGTTGATTCCCTACTTTAAATCAATATACAATCACGGTAAACATTGTAACATACTATTTGCATTTTATTTCAATGGCATGGTAAGAAAAAATGTTATGTAATATGTACACAACTTGAAAAAGCGTATTCCTTTGCAAATAGACTATGTGCAATTTCAATATCAAACATTAGGGTAAAACAAGTTTTTTTAAATTATCTTTAAAAAAAATTCATACTAATATTCCAAGACGAGTCAACAATACCACAACTAGTATTAAAAACATGTAACAAAATTGTGCTAAAATTACAAAAAGCGCGTTCGCAGGTCAAAAAGTTTCTTACAATTTGGTCAGAAGTATTCCGATTTATTGACATTTGCACTCCGAAATTCGGAGTGCGCTCCAATAAATCTGTCCATGAACATAAATAATCAGTAACTAAGTTATAATTAAATGGCCAATGCCTTTTGGACTGAAGTCTTATTTTTTTATTGGACATTTACTTGTTTAAAGTTTTAGAAAAACCGTTGTGGCTTTGGAATACACAGAATAAAGTATGGGCTGTGGCCTGTATGTTGAACAGGGACTGTTGTCTGACTGGACGTACTGGTACATCTTTTATCTAAACCTCAGTCAATCAAGTGTAAATCTTATAATAGTGTACTACTAAATAACAACAGAAGTGAAATGTCTTTCAAGTTTTTGAATAAATAAATGTATAATTATATGAATTATGCGAGAAATCGGAAGGTCAAATCGATTGATTGGGAAAAATGTAGCTTTCTGACAAAATATAAATTGTTGGTAAATGCGCCTATATTCATTAAAATATTATACCTAATAGTATTGAAAAACACTAGTATAGTGAAGTGAACAAAATGATTTTAAAATGCTCAATTTTTAAAATTGTTTATATTATATGTTAGACAAAATGGGACGCTTGACTTGAAAGAGGAAACATCCTGTCAGACCTGAGAACCATGACAAAACGACGCTACTAAAAAGACAACGACAAGCATCACCACCTTATAGGGCACCTGTATTTCAAAGGGAACCAAGCGGCAATCTATGTCACCTTCTGTGGTCACCTCATCGTCTAGACCAACTACAAAATAACAATCATGTCATGTTTTTTAGGCTTTCTATGCATATTTTTCCAATTTGTCTTTATGTCATAAAAACAGAGCTTAATATGTTACATAAATATTTGATATAAAAACCTGTCATGTGTTAAGCAACAAGTTTCCGTGGTTGGCCAAATTAATTCATGTTAATAGGAATCTTATCTTTAGCTAACCTGAGCTTAGGTGAGTTCTTTGATGTCAGCGTGTCCGTCGTTTGTCGTTAAGTTGCTAATCTTAATTGAAATACATACATGATTTCAGATGAAAAGAATATGATTTAAAACATGTGTCTGAAAAATGTTAAACGGTAATGCATTACTCGTAGTTGCGCAAACAATATGACTATTTAAATGTTTGGCATGTAGATGTTTTTCATATACAGTATAATATCTTAAAGGCATACAGCTGCGAATATTATTTAATACAAATTATAGCTTAATATGTTATTTATCCGAGTTATGTCTTTAAAACGTTGTAACGTTACTATACGGCATATAATCGTTTCCATAGCAACACCTGTCTACGCATCCTGGCGCACGGACTATTTTCTTGTTATAAGTTTTCTTACTGAATAAAAAGAGCCCCTAAAATTGCGTCAAACGTCACGACAATTTTATGACGTCACTTCCAACTTAAGGACGTCATTTCCGCGAGTTGTTTAAGCCGTTACCGCAGATCATTATAGCAATACGTGCGCGACAAGACAACGACTATGGAAACACCGTCAAAAGAGGAACAGCGTGTTTTATTAAGTTTTGCGTTAATCTTTGGAAAACGCCAACAGAAACTAAGCAACTTCTAGAACAGGCAAACAACGGACGTACTGCTAGTCGACCATTGGTATTTAGATGGCATAAAGAGTTTCGGGATGGCAGAAAGTCAACAAAAGACAAGGAAAGGAGCGGTCGCCCCAATGGACTTTTCCGTTTTTCCGGCCATCAAATCCGAACTACGAGGAATCCGGTTTGAGGACCTAGTTGAACTGCGCTCTAGAGTTATGAGCATTATTGCAACATTTAAATCTGACTGGTATAGAAATGTATTCGCCAAGTGGGTTACGAGGCATGAGAAATGTGTACGTTGTGAAGGAAGATACTTTGAAAAGGAGTAGCACTTGAATTTCTACGGTGACGTTAAACTCTGGAAATAACGGCAACGTCGGATAACGTCGTTGCGTGCGCCGGGTCACCGGTAGTGTATGTGCCTAACGCATTGTAGCTTTTGTATACATGAAGCTATTGTTATGAAATTTTACACTATAATAGATGAGGTATTAAAGTAATACATAGTAAACTCTTGTTTGATTTTATCTTTTTCAACGCTAAATATTGACCCAGTCTCAAAACTTTCCGAACAACCCTCGTATAACGAATTGATTGATTGGGAATGATGTAGCTTTCCGATATAATGTTTTTCTTGTAGCGATATTTAAATACACCATTAACCATTACTACCCCATTTAGTCAACTTATCATTTCTTCATTATCCTGAATAGTAAAAAAGCATAATTATAAAACGCATGATTTTTTATTTTTAGAAAAAATGAGACACTCGACTAGAAAAAGGAATCCGCCTGCCAGACATGAAGACGATGACGAACCGCCGCCACGAAAAAGGCAGCCACAAAAGAAATCACAACCCCCGGCAGCTAATAAAGTACTTATACCGCCTAGGGGACCTACACAACAACATGGGTTACATTCTTCGGCTACAGTATCGCCTAATTCACATACGTCTACGTCAAGGGCACCTACAATACCAGCAAGGGCAAGTACACCATCGCCTGTAGCAGCCATACCACCACGAGCGGACATGGCGCAGCAGTGTTTGGAGCAAGTTATCAAGTTGACAAATCGACACGGTAAAAGACAACTATTTATTTGTATCTTTATTATGCTCGGAAAGTGCGTCCCAGAAAATCTAAATAAAAATGAAATTTATAAAGTCAATTTGTGGACATGGCCACCGTGTTGACTAATTTACCAAAGGCGTCATGCCACATAACGAAAGGGGGGCACAGATTGTCATTAAGGGAGAGGGTAAAAAGGTTATTAACCCATCGTATACAAAGAAAAACGATACTATTGAAAAATTGTTGCTCAACACACAGAACCACTGACAATTTGGGCCGGCGCACTATAGCTATTTCAGGATGCGGTAAAATACTATGATTTCAATTATCCAATAAACATAACATTCTTACCTGGTCTGCAATTTATTTCCACCTTTACAATGCATATACAATCACGGTAAACATAGTAAAATACTATTTGCATTTTATGTCAATGGCATGGTAAGAAAAATGTTATGTACACAACTAGAAAAAGCGTTTCCTTTAATGATAATATTGTACTTTGTGCAACTTGAATATACTACACTAGGAAATAAGGATTTTTTAGAATTATCTTTAAGAAATTGAATACTAATTTTCCAAGACGAGCAAACAGTACCATCACTAGTAATAAAAATGTGTAACGAAGTTGTCCTATTATTCCAACAATCGTGTCCGCATTGGCTATATCATGGTCATAAGTGTCACAAAACGGGTCAAAACGTTTTTTACAATATGGTCCAAAGTATTCGGACTGAAAAATGTCAGTAAATCTGTCTATTAACATAAATTGTCAGTAACTTAAGAGCCAATACCTTTTGGACTGAAGACTCATTTTTTATCGGACTTTTACTTGTTTATATTATAAGAAAAACCGTTGTGGCTTTGGAATACACAGAATTAAGTACGTGCTATGGACTGTATCTTGAACGGGGCCTGTTGTCTGATGGGACGTTTTGGTACATCTCCAATCTAAACTGTAGACAATCGAGTGTAGAGCTAATAATAATGTACTGTTAAATAACGACATAAGTAATATGTCTTTCAAGCATTTGAATAAATAAATAAATATGTAAATGAATTATGGGAGAAGTCAGAAGGTCCAATTTATTTGAAAATGTAGTGATAAAATGTAAATTGTCGGTAAAGTGCGCCTATATTCATTATAATATTATTCTAAATAGTAGAAAATAAAATGATTTAAAACACTTGTAAAGTATAGTAGACAAGAATGATTTTAAAAACGCTCATTTCTTTAAATTTGTTTAAATTATATGTTAGACAAAACGAGACGCTCGACAAGAGAGAGGAAACCGCCTGTCCGACTTGAGAACCTTGACAAAACAGCGCTACGGAAAGACAGCCACAAGCAACACCACTTCATAGGGCACCCGTACTTCAAAGGGAAACCAAGCGGCAATGTAGGTCATCTTCTGTGGCTACCTCATCGTCTAGACCCACCTACGACTTCCGACTAGGGCGCCTTACACCTCCGCATGTAATATCCGATACCACCGCAGTGTTTGAGCAGAACATTCCATTGGTAAATGAACACAAGGTAAGAAACAACAGATACTTAATGTCATATCTATGCTCAGGGAGATTGTTCCTGAAAATGTAAAAGAAAGGAATACATTTATTCATTTTGTGGTCATGGCCACATTGTTGGATAGATATAACTATAGCGACATACCACACAACGACAAAAGGGACAAAACATGTGATAAACCAATGAAAAACGGAGGTCATTAAGTAATAACCTCATGAAAAACAAAGATAAACGATACCATTGCGGAATGCTCAGACACATTTTGATGTAAGCCACCATATTTATGTGCTCAACCCACATAACTACTGGTCATGCGGGTCGGTGTACACTAGCTATTTCAGCATGCGATAACATGCTCAATTTCAATTATCGATCTTGCACAATAATAATTTACACATTTTGTCAGTGTTGTTAAAATGATAGAAATCATGCTGCTAAGTAAAAAGCAAACACTAAAGCTTTTCTGGCTCCGCATTCTACGGCAAAGGTACATTACATAACGAAGGGAAGTCTGATATGGATGAAATATTTTCAAGATAATAATATATTTTGTAATGTATCTCGAATCATCTTTAAAGGGATAATTAATCAATAATACATAATGAATCTGTATTTTAAGAAGAACTGGAGATGACAAGGTCTTCTGATATTGAGATTTGCCGAAAAGCCATAGTTAAGAATTTCGTCGCACTTAAGAAGTATTTGCATCCAGATCCTATAATTGATTGTGAGACAGGCTTTGAATTACTTACCGTCGCAGACAGAAAGAATATCCAGGTACGATATAAAATAGTTTAAAGGCCAGTACAATTTAGATTACATTATTCAATTGTCAGTATTTGATGACATGTGTGACATGGTGAGTTTTTGTGTCGCCTTGAAAAGGTGACATAAAGGGGTTACTTTTGTCGGCGGCTTCGGCGGCGTCTGTGTCATTGTCGGCGTCGGCGTCCCCTTAAGCTTGTCCGGATCATAACTCAGTAACTATAAGTCTGATTGACTTCAAACTTGGTATGCATGCTTCTTTCAATAACCCGAAGTGCAGTGCACAAGGACCGGTACTCTGCAGTTCTTATTTTTTTAGTTATTGCCTTTTGTTAATTTTCATACTTTAATTTTTTCCGGGCTATTTCTCTTCAACTAAAAAAGCTATGGACTTGAAACTTCATAGGATAATAGATCTCATTAAAATGAAGTGCAGTGCATAAGAACCGGTACTCTGCACTTCCTAATTTTTGAGTCATTGCCCTTTGTTAATTTTCATACTTTATTTTTGTCCGGGCCATTTCTCCTTATGTATAAAAGCCATGGACTTGAAACTTCATAGGATAATAGGTCTCATTAAGAAAAAGTGCAGTGCACAAGAACAGGTACTCTGCATTTCTTTTTTTTTTTGAGTTATTGCCCTTTGTTTATTTTCATACTTTAATTTTGTCTGGGCCATTTCTCCTTAAGTATAAAAGCTATGGACTTGAAACTTCATAGGATGATAAATCTCATTAAGAAAAAGTGCAGTGCACAAGAATCAGTACTCTGCATTTCCTATTTTTTGAGTTATGGCCCTTTGTTAATTTTCATACTTTATTTTTGTCCAGGCCATTTCTCCTTAAGTATAAAAGCCATGGACTTGAAACTTCATAGGATGATAGGTCTCATTATTAAGAAAAAGTGCAGTGCACAAGAACAGATACTCTGCATTTCTTACTTTTTGAGTTATTGCCCTTTGTTTATTTTCATACTTTAATTTTGTCTAAGCCATTTCTCCTTAAGTATAAAAGCTATGGACTTGAAACTTCATAGGATGATAGATCTCATTAAGAAGAAGTCCAGTGCACAGGAATCGGTACTCTGCATTTCTTAATTTTTTTAGTTATGGCCCTTTGTTAATTTTCATACTTAATTTTTGTCCAGGCCATTTCTCCGAAAGTATAAAAGTTATGGACTTGAAACTTCATAGGATGATAGATTTCATTACGAAAATGTGCAGTGCATAAGAACTGATACTCTGCATTTCTCATTTTTTGAGTTATTGCCCTTTGTTGATTTTCATACTTTATTTTTGTTCTGGTCATTTCTCCTCAAGTATGAAAGCTATGGACTTGAAACATCATAGAATGATAGATCTTATTGATAAGAAGTGCAGTGCACAGAAACTGCTGCTCTGCACTTATTATTTTTTTAGTTATTGCCCTTTGTTATTTTTCATATTTCATTTTTGTCCTGGCCATTTCTCCTAAACTACATTGTTCACAAGGCGACACATCCGACTCGCGGAGTTCTAGTTATTTGAATTGTTGATTGTAATATAATTACTGAGGCATTTGAGGAATACTCTTATTTAATGCTTGTAACTTACATTTGAAATATTCTATAAGGATATCTTAAGATTTCTGTATGATTTATTTCAAAAGTCAACTTGGTAAGCTAATCTTATTCTTACAAATGCAACAAAAAATAACTGCTTATCGAACGTGTTAAAAATGTAATGAACATTAAGTTTATATAAAGGTTAAATAAAGTAGAATCTTATTGATAAAATACAATGTTACAGGGTAAGGATCCAACAGATAAGAATGAAATGATATTGAGAAAAGTAATATCCAAAGGTGCTAATGGTTACACAGACTTTAAAGAGCGTCTGAGAAAGACCTGGCAGACTGACTTATTAGACTTGATCGTTTGTGCAGAGAATGGACAGGACACAACAGAGATAGAGAGTCGGCTTGAGAAAACTGCACTGTTATGTCCGGAGTATATCAAACAAAGAGGTGGTAAGTCAATTGTTTAACGCTCATATTGTTCAGAGATGAACTTTTGTGACTGCAAGCTGTCAGTTGTTAGCTACCTATCATTCTTCGTCAATATATGTCTTTAAACAACATTTCCACCTAAAATTATCGATAAATATCAATTTTTTACAGAACTGATTTAAAGTAGTCTTCTACAATATTTCCCCCTGTTGATAATTGCCTCCTAGATCTACCTAAATATGTTTTCTGAGTGTGAACTATAAATTATTTAGTCGCTAATAATTTCCTGGTAGTAAACTCAAAGACATCACTGCCATCATATTATCCATTAAAAATATATTATTTTACTACACAAACTACATAATGGCAGATTTGACACCTCAGATTGAAACCCAACCCATTGCAACTATGATTAAGAAATAATATATACCAAACAGTGATTTTGTCAAGTTTGAATTAATTATTACGATTCTGACACGATATCAACATACCAGATCAAGCTCCAACGCAGTGATCTCCCCTAACAGGATTAGATCTCAGCTAGTCAAGATTTATGACGATATGTTTTTAGCTCACCTGTCACAAAGTGACAGGGTGAGCTTTTGTGATCGCTTTTCGTCCGGCGTCCGTCCGTCGTCCGTCCGTCCGTCCGTCGTCCGTCGTCCGTCCGTAAACTTTTACTTTAAATGACATCTCCTCATAAACCACTAAGCCAATTTCATTCCAAACTTTCACAGGAATGTTCCTTTGGTGGTCACCTTTTAAAAATTGGTTCAAAGAATTTAATTCCATGCAGAACTCTGGTTGCCATGGCAACCGAAGAAAAAAACTTTAAATAATCTTCTTTTAAAAAATTCATAACAAT